AAAATGCACATCACAATTGACATTAATTCCGTGTTTAATTCCTCCCTGTGCTCCCCACAACCAAGGAGCTATATTATACATAATGTCTAGCCAAGAAGTAAGTTTATAGTACAGAGTGAATGGAACAGTTTAAAATAATATGTCTAGCATTTGCGTCCATAAACGGTACTCGCGAAATGAAGCGAAACGTGAATTACATTGAGCTCAGAATATCGATGTGTACAGTGAACTGAAATTGGTCTGAATGTTATCGTTTATTTAGGAAGGACGGGTATATCATGCATTTATATAAATGTGTAGACTTATGTATTTGTATAGAGTATGCAGGTAAACTATGTTGGCATACGGGTTTGAAATGATGGTTATTTTTATATATCTTTATTGAGTAAACGTACGGTTTCTAGTATTCGTCAAAAGAGGGGCGTGTTCACACTTGTGGCAGGATGGTAGCCATGTTGGATTTATGTTCGTTATGGTGAATGTGGCATTTAATGCATTTGTAGGCCCTAATTGTTCTGTTCTTGCAGATTAAATAAAACCATTTAACGGTTATATCATTTCAACGGGAGCGTTAAGACGTTTGCGTTTCCTGCCTCTGGAGCGATCCATATATACATAATTATAGCTCCTTGCATTGCCCACAATGACAACGACAACCTTGCCCGTACCCATGCCGTTTTTTTCTGACAAATATGCATTTAAAATGGTTACAGGGTATCCAAGCATGGATTTATGTGATAAATGTGATTGCGATTGTGTGATGAATTGTTATCAGTAGACCTGTGCACGCTCGCGTCACTCGTCGATTTGCTAGGCACGAAAATACAATTTCGGCGAAACTTACGCACTTAAATTTGGCACGGGTATGCCCGAGAGAGATGTGCACAGCAAAATCCGCTATCAAGGTTTCACTTTGGCCGCAGCATCGCGCCACAATCATTTTCCTAGGCTAACATACACGGCGTATGGCGCTCGCGTCGCTCGTCGATTTGCCAGTCACGAGAATAGTTTTTGGCGAAATATGTGCACTTAAACTGGGCAGGGGTATGTCCGGGAGAGAGTCCCTATATACAGACTGACTGTCTGTATATAGGGACTCTAGTCCGGGAGAGACGTGCGTAGAAAGATCCGCTCTCGTTTTTCTCAGTCTCTCACTCCCAAAGCAATATCATCCAGTTGCAAACAGTCCGTACTACAGGCCTGGAACGGTGCCCGCGCATGCGCAATATCACCCAAGAAGAACAATATTTTGAAAAAATTATACACTTAAAATGAAGAGGAGGTAATCTAGCTTAGATTGATATGAAAACGTTTCATCCGTAGACCTCGTAAGAAATAGCCTGTAGACCCTTAGAAGTTTAAATATATTTTAATATCAACAACACCACACACACACACACACACACTCTGGGCAGCGCGCACCCGGTTTTACTATCAGCTGTAGATAAAATTCTAGAAATATTGCCACACTGACACCAGCGATCAGTATTCTGGGTTGAT